ACCGGTTATCCGGCTTGGGCATTAGACTCCCTTTCAGGCTACCATGGGAGCACTGAAGAAAAGAAACTTAGGACCCAAGCCCAGTAAACTATAGAAGATAAATAATGAAACAAAAGGGTTTATAACACACTGAAAATATAAACATAACAAGGCCTTTTCGGCTTCTCAGCCCTGCTAACGCACATCGGGGAATAAAATAGAATAAAATCTTCTTGGCTTCTCAGCCCAGCATACAAAATAATAAGGCCTCATTGGCTTCTCAGCTCAACTTAACAGGTCTTCTCGGCTTCTCAGCCCAACTTAAAAGTTTTTCTCGGATTCTCAGCACAACTAATACTCTGGGAAATGCAGTATAAATGACCTTTTCGGCTTCTCACCCCAAGTTAAATGACATTCTTGGCTTCTCAGCCCTGCTAATTGCACTCTGGGGAATAAACTGTAATAAAATCCCCTTCGCTTCTCAGCCCACATTGCGGGCGGAACGTAACAAAGCCGTGTACAAGCACGTGAAAGATGGCGAGCAGTCCCGGCATGTTTTTGTATTTCGTTTAGCTGGAAAGAAAAGCACGCAAACGGCAAATATGCAGCAACAAACGGAGCAAAAAGAAAAATAAAGGAAGGGAAACAGTAAAAACAACTAGGAGAGGCAGTGAGATAGCGAGAGGCCAAGATACGCAACAGGAAGACAAGCGAAACATACGAACTGCCGAAATGAACAATAACAAATGGCGAGGAAAGCCGGCACAAAACAAAGCAAGGAAAAACCTGCAACGGTTGGTAAAGAACTGCAACCTGGGCGGCCTCAACGCCTTGAACAGCCGGAGCTTGAGCATTCATCCGCCATAGGAGCAAATTATTAGAGCGAGCAAAGGGTACGGTGCTACGAGCGGTAGCACGCTAGTTACGTGGAAGTGATGTAAATGTATTAGGGAATCAGATCTTATACTCGCTCTGCGAGGGACTGGTGCGAATATCAATAGATGTTTGACAAGTGTTTTCTTTAAATTTTGTTTTGTGTTCCTAGGAATAATTGATAAAGGAACGGACTGTACTAAGGGGGAATCAAAAATAAGTACGTTTGTAATCGTGAAATTAAAATTCATGCTTACAGAAAAGCCTAATTACCTCCCTTAGGCCATCGTTTCATGTAGGATCTTTCGTTGTCATCGAGGAAATCCCTGGGCCTTGTTTCCTTGGTATGGTTGTTAAGCTCGCACCTTCCAATCCCGATGACAAAGTTGAAGCTTTGGCATCTAATGTCATCTTGACATTTTAAATGGCACTGGTATGGATTTGCCGTTAGTAATTTTCTGAATGTATGACCAATCATTGCTTTAAAGTTAATGGAGTCCTGTTAGCCACACCGTCCAGTTGCATCCGAAAAAGACCCGGTAAACAGCACGACCAGGACAGCAACTGTTACGAACCATAATGATTTAAGAAGCATTGGGAAATCTAAAAAAGTTTTCCTATAAAAAACGTTTGCATAAATTTGATCGAAATAACAATTTCTTTGATGGAAGGAATATTTTAAAAGAAATAACTGATCTGAAAACTGATCTGGACACACGAAAGGGCAGCTATCATTGGTTGATGATTGTCGGCGCACAGTTTGAAATAGGCAAAGTAGCTGGCAGTTATGGCCCACAATTAAGCCAATTGTGGGGAAGAATTGTCTTCTTCAAACAGCTGCAGCGCAAGTTAAAATTATGCCAACTATGAAAGGACATGTTTTACGTGCTTAGTTTTCTTTTACTGAGACCGTATATTACCTAAGGATGAGATAATCAAATTACACACAAAACTGGGATGTAAATTTAACACACTCCTGACGTTTTTGAAGTAAGCTTTGTTAAAATAAGACAAAATTATCCTGAAATTAATTAAGACTGGCGCCGTTGTCATTCAAAGCTGTGGTTGGTTGTTTTGATTCATTGGCGTTGTTGTTTACATTCAACTTTGGAAGGGGATACTAGTGAGGTAATTAACTGAATGATTTATTTTAATCTGGGTTGAGTAATTTTTCTACAATCTGTCAGACATACTTTTTATTGCAATGCTCTCTTACTCGTAAAAAATACTGTCATATTTAGTAGTAGGCTATAATGTTGTTCTGAACCATCCGACTTGACACCTTGATTTTATCTGAATAATTCATTTTCTTAANAAAAAAAAAAAAAAAAAAAAAATACGGTGGCAGAATTTTATGAGGAAGGAATAAACTGGACTGTAATTGTTTTAGAATCAGTAGCGACATGGGGTGGATCCTGATCAAGATTTAGCTGAAATTTATACTGCAAAAGTTTCCCTTTTGGAAGAACTCTGTCAACTTTTACTTTCACTATTTCAGTAAAAAAACGAACCTCTGGTTCTTTCCGACCTGTTCAATTTTACACTTTTATTTTATACATAAAATTAATTAATGCAATGTTAACACTGATGACTGGAGATGAACACGATGTCACTGCTCTTTTTTTTTCTCCTGTGACTCTTCTTGGAATTATTAACGAAAACTAAAACGCTTTAGCTTCGAAGCCAACAGAACTTAAGAAAGAAGGAAATTAGAAATAGAAAGATTAAAACAGATTTACACTTGATATTGTCTGCGGTTTTATGTAATCCCACGCTGCGAAAGAAAGATAAATGATTTATGGTTTTTGATGAACGCCTCAAACATAATCTTGGGAATTATGTTCCCTCGTCATCCCTTCTACCGTTAAATGCTGTTTTTTTCTTTATTATTTTAGTGGGCTTATGCATTATGCATTGATTTTCACCTTCCAACCGCTATAACGTAAAAACGTGTTTCTCTGAAATATCGGAGAAATGTCCCGTAGGAATCAAATCTGGAATCACTGTTCGTGTACGACACCACAGTGTTCGGTTTTGAACGTCACGCATTCTTGTCGAAGTGGCTTCGTACCTCACGGAGACACGTACGTGTGGCAACCAACAGTGAACGTTCCATCGTGGGTAATACGATTGTCCGGCCAACTTTTGGCAAAGAGGAAGGTTACATGATAGGGCCGCTCTTTGCAGATTCCGAGCCAATCCTCCGTAGGAAAAATGATGGCGACTGGTACATTTACCCATGGTTTTTAGCGCAAGAAAACCTTAACGCTCATAAAACGTGCAGAAAAGTTATAAAATCTTCAAACCTAGTCTGCATAATGTCCTCAGCACAGGAACAAATATTGTACAGCCGCCATCTTTTTTCCTATGGTGGATTGCAGAGAAGTTGTTGAAAGCAGTATTTCAAGAGTTTCTTCGATAGGAACCTGCTCCAGCAGTCTGTATGGACGCGCCTACAGAGAAAGCCACGAAACTGGGAGAAACGTTTTAAGGAAGGAGTTCATATGAGCAGATGTGCATGGTCATGAATGGTCTCGCTGATGCATGTTTCGACAAGTGGTTCGCTTTCACCAGCGTTGAACGTGGTTAAGTAAACCCATTTCAATTCAAGATATTGGCCACTTATACTTGTGGTAATCAGTGACATTGAAATAAGTATGGGTAATCAAATGGTGACGAGTGAAATTAGCAAATAATTTCACGCGCGTTTTGTCAAAATTCTAATAATTTAATTCCCTCGCCTAAAATAATTTCCTGAGCCTTTAGGTGAGGGAAATTATTTGAATTTTGACAAAACCCAAGTGAAATTATTTCTTTATTTCACTAGTATTGGGTGTTTGGCTTGTTTATTGTATCGAGTAATTTCTCATCAAATGTTGCCACGGAATTTGGTAATTTCACATGTAAAATTGAAAATTAACGCTGAAATCTTGCGTCAAAATTAAGGAGTTATTTGTCACCCTTGATATTAACGTTGATAACACGATAACACGTTTGCTTGATAAGTGTCAAGGAATCCTCGTTCAGCTCTGAGAGTAAACAACTTTGCGGCAGAAATACCATAGCAAAAATGTCGGAAGAAGTGCAAGAATGGGTTTCGAGATTATCGGTGATTTTACACGAAAGGACATGCTCCGAACAGTTCGGTTGTCGGCAATCTTTCCATCATGCATTTCGGCTTTTTGGCTCATACGGTCGTTGAAGCGTGAACGAATTGGCCAATGATAGTGCAGAATGAAATCTGATTGCGCTCACGTTCTTAATATGGGATGATTGCCGAGAGCCAAAAAATTATTTGGAATTTCTCCACCAAAACCCGTAGTAAGGCCGCCATGATAAGTAGATGTGAATGAAACTTTAAAGGGCATTGTAGATGCAATATATTTTATGGCGATTATGTGGCTAGTTTTGGACTGCGAGACGGAGAGTTATCGGCCATGCTTAAAGGACGTCGAATCAAACACTGAACAACAAACCCGATAAAAATGGGCACAACGTGAGGTTGAAATTGCACAAGATACTCAAAGACAACTCTACCTTTTGTTAAGTTTATTTCTACATTTATAGTTCTATGTTAACGGATATGCATAGTCTATAAATCATTCGTTTCGTTACCCAGTGGAAACCGTTGTTGTATGAAGCCTTGCGGTGAGCTTTATCCTTCTTTGATTTATTGCACGTGAAACATTTGAGGGACATTCATTTGATATAGGTTGGCCTTTGCTATTTGATATAAGTGGGCCCAGGCTATGGCCACATCTACCGACCCAGTAACGAGCTTGAACTTAAATAGAAGTATGTCGATGACGTTAAAAATTAGATATGTATCTCTTCTGGGGCAAAGTATGCTTAACAACAAACAACAATTACAAGTAGTTTTATTTGCATTGCCATAAATTCTTCCGTTATTGCAATGCGTGCAGTTTAACAAAACAAGAAATAACAATAATGTAATGTCAGTCTGATTTTGACAATAGATTAGTGCGTAAATCTAAACATAACAAAATGAACCTCGTCAAGAAGCTCCTATTGGAGGTAAATGGGTGATGTTCAGTAGGTGATCTCTTAAAGTTTTCTTGAAAAACCTGTCCCTAAGAATTGAGTATTTAGGACAGTAGAAAAGTATGTCAATATTATCTATACAATTTAAGAATAATGTTGTGCGTCTCACAATATGCATTAATCTATTTCCCCCTCGTTTACCTTAACATGGAACTGGTGTCATGTTGGATCGAGATTTAAAACAGAAAAACAGAAAATAAGTTGTCAAAGGTTACATATTTACAATCAACAATGAACAGTGCGGTTGAGTCAAACGTTTAGTCAACCAAGATAGAATACCTCCCAGTCGTCAGGTGAGAATAACCTGGTCCCGGCCAGAATTGTGAGCTCGTTTTGTACGCCACTTGGAGTAGAGTAGGAGTCGCCAAAGTTTGTGCGTGAATCCGTGTTATTGTTTGCATTGTTTTCTATGCAAATGTCACACCAACCAAAAGATGGACCATTATCCGAGTCCCTGTAAATTGCTGTGGATGGATCAGTCACCATGCTCTTGAATGGCCTCAAGTCTTCTTTATTGCGTAAAGAATAGATGAACGCCTTGGAAGTGTAGTTGAATCCACCACTAGATTCTAGACTCGACAAGAATAGACATAGAAATATGGATTTCAGGAACTGTAGGACTGAACGTATTTATAATATGTTGTTGTTGCTGCTGTAAATCGGAACAGTATTACATTTATTGTGTCTCAAGGAAAATTTTACGAAAAATAAAATACACCTTGGTCAATTTATATGTTACAATTTCTGTTTCCTGGCTGTTCAGAGATCTATTTTTTGGTTCAACTTTATATAAGGGGCGATAATATATATAACGCTGCATGAATAGTTTACTAAGCATAATTTCAAGCAAACTATTAAACTACAAAGAAATTACCCCAAGGAATGTCGGTGTATCCTCCAAACACATACTGTCCGTTTTTGATGATGGTAACCGTGTTATTTTTGCCGTCACANACGTGCGAGCCAGGTTCAAGGGTTTAATGTTCTCTAGGAAGCTTAACCCACCCTGTCTCCAAAAATGTAAGTGTTGTAAGTACATTTATTATATGGCTAGCTCCGTGAGCGGGCAAGATGAATCAAATCCTGCGCTGTGATTGCCCACCCGAGCGGGCAAGATGGAGCTATCTTGCCCGCTCGGGACTTCCCACCGTGTCCCGCAAGAAAAATTTCCGCGAAAGCCATATAATGAATCCATTATCGACCAAGCTTGTTCGGTCGACTCCGTCTCGAGCTCGGTCCATAAACACGCAAAAAAAGAACTTGGCCAAGATCTTGACCTCACACTTGGTCAATAATCCATACTAATAGTCCAATCTTTCAAGGTGGCCTAGAGATAGCCTGTACCCGGCGTTTCAATGTTGTTAATGTTATCGCGCAAGTGACGCTGTGTATGGTCTCATTTCACGGTATTCAATCAGGCGTACTCTGCGATGTTAATTGGTAAAATAATTCGTCTATATCAGCTGTTCTTAAAAGTTCGAAACCCATCTTTACCTTTTCGGCCTATGGAAAAAGACTAAAGACCTAAAAGCACTACAAAATAATAATAATAATAATAATAATAATAATAATAATAAAAACTGCAAAATTTCACGTACCCCAAGGAATGTCGGTGTATCCTCCAAACACGTACGGACTTTTGCTAATTATAGTAACAGTGTGTGGCTTGCCATCACAACGACTGTGAAAAGTACTCGAAGACCAGCCGTGAGAGGACGCGCGGTAACACAGATTCCAACATCGACGTGAACTGGGAAATGGTTCCAAAAATCTTTTAAGGTTACTGATGAAGAAGCTGCTTCTTCCGATAATATTTGACCGCTGGAAAGGCATTTCTTGAATAAAATAAAATAAAATGAATCAGTTTAAAACATTGAAAGTAAATATTGGTCTAAGAAGCTGCATTCTGTTTGAAACACGTGGACCAGAACCATATAAGTCACCAAGAGAAGCAATTTACTTCATGCTAAAGTATGCTTCAGTCCGATGTCGTCAACATGTACATCTATTTTTGATAGTTCGCCGCTGTTTAATGATGCCCTTTCT